CCTAATAATAGGTCTCTACTTTATTCTGATCGTATTCATGTGCGCTTTCGGACTAACATGCAATCAATAGGATTAACCCTAAACCTGTTTATCTATGTTGGTTGAATATAATATTAGCAAGATCCTAGGCATGATACTAACATAGCATAATAATAATAGCAAGATCCTAGGCATGATACTAACAAGATTAATAACAAATCCTAGCATATCACTAAGCAATAAAAATCAAATCTTTAACCCTAACATGATACTAACAATCATAAATATTAGGAAGAACATAAGAAGCATCGTAACAATCATATTTAATATTAAAATTACCCTAGACATGATACTAGGAATATCATAATAACAATATACACATGATGTCTACATCATAACAATTAAAACCATTAAAGTACTTACTTTGATGCTTCGTACCTCTTTCTAATAACAAAATACACACGTTAGTAACTTCAAGGAAAATAATAAACAAACAATTAAGTTAAATAATTGAAATAGAGATTTGGGACCAAACCCTCAGAAATTAAAACCTTTCACGTCTAGGGCGAAGGCAACTTCGAATATGGCTAGGTGTTTCTAGATCTTGTGAATGCGGAATTTCGTATGTGAAAACAAAGTTTGAAAAAAGAATTGAATGATTAAGAGAATGCTAATTAAAACTGATTGTAGGTGAATGATGGATGTAGATGATAAGAATTGGTGAGAATTAGTGAATGAAAACGGAGTTTTTAATACGATATTTATAGAGAAAATCATCCAAAAAGATAAATTAAACAAAACAGAGTCTGACGCACAGAAAACAGAGCTGGCGCCAACCCTGGCTAGCTGGCGCCAGGCACCAACACTAGCGCCAGGTGCCAATGGCTAGCGCCAGGCGCCAATGGCTAGCGCCAGGCGCCAAGCCTGGTTCCAGGCGCCAAGGCCTGGGGTTAGGCGCCAAGCCTGATTTTAACGCGTTTTCGAAAATCAAATAAGTTTGCCGTCCTGGAGGATAAAATCATATAATTTCCTCAAAAATGCTATTTGATTTTGATTAAAACTCTGAAAAGTCAACAAAAGTCAATTTATCAATGCTAATTGAATTAGGAATGAAAAGAACCTTCTAGAAGAATCTAGAAGACTAAAACCATTCCTAATTGCATTAGGAATGATAAATCATATTAGGCCCTCCCCTAGATCATTGGGCCACACGTAAAGCTCAAACCGGGCCCAGTTTAGTAAATTGGCCATAACTTCCTCAATATTCATCGGAATTGGGCCTATAATATATCGTTGGAAAGGTCTTTGCAAGCCCCATCCAACTACACTACTATTGGACCCATATCATGGACCAACCAAACTGGATTGGCTGGTTTCTTAAAATAAGTTTTCAAAAACAGAGAGAAAAGAAAAGAATTAAAACTTTCCGCAACACTAGACTTTCCACACTTTCGCTTCATTCGATTATGACTCGACGTGAAAGGTACTCATCACTGGGTTTGGTTTTGGGGAGACACAAATGGGTGTCTACACGAGCATATGAACCACGGGTTTAAATTAATATTATTGTAAATCAGGTCAGACATGGGTTAGTCGAGGGGTTCACTCGGTCAAGGGTTACTTGAAGGGTTACTCGATTAGGGGTTACTCAAGTTACTCGAGGGGTTACTCAGTCATGGGGGACTCGAGTTACTCGGTCAGAGGTTATTTAACTAGTTCGATCAGGGGTTACTTGAGGAGTTGAGGGTTCAGTCAGGGGTTACTTGGTTAGAGTAATTTGAGGGTTTCAGTCATGGATTACTCGAGGGGGTGTAAAGTGACTCCTGACCGAGTAACTTGAGTAAGTCCGTCAACTCGACTAACCCCTGACCGAGAAAATTGAGTAACTTCGGCAACTCGAGTAACTCCTGACCGAGTAACTTGAGTAACGCATACAAAAAATTGTCAAGAGATATTGTTACATAGAAAGATATATTGTCATTTATAAAGAGATACGGTTATTTAGAAATAGATGCTATCATTTATAGATAGATATCGTTATATATTGGTTTAGTCATAACATTAGCTATGTTACGATAGTAAACGTGGCCATAAATCCCATAACTATACCAACAAGTAGAGGTGTCAAAACCGAATCAGCCCGAAAAAAACTTATCTTTTTCGAATTGTAATCGATCTAATTTGATTCGATTTACTCAAACATACTAAGTTACTAAGGGTTCGTTTGGCATCGCTGTGGTTTTCTGTTTTTTGGTTTTTTGTTTTTTAAAAGTATATTATATATGTCACATAATGAATCAAAAAATATTTAGACATATTAAAATCATGATAATTTTGAAAACTGACAACAGAAAAGTGGAAACACCTTTTTCTTGTTTCCTGTTTTTGGTTTTTAGTTTTAAAAAAAAAAAACAGGAAACTGAAAACCAAAAATGATGCCAAACAAGCCCTAAGTTAGGGGTGTTCAAATTCGCGTTTTCGAGTATCCGGATCTTCAGGTACTTTGGAATCCGACCCATAACCCGACTCGTGTTTCGGGTACCTGAAGTTTCCGGGTCGGGTCACAAATCTGCCTACTAATCAAGTGCCATAATTTAAAAAATCGACTTTATAACCCAAGTTAAATCTCCTTCCAATTTTTGTATTATCTTTATGCTTGTCTATTGTAGATTTTTAGTCAATAGTTTGTATATTTAAAAAATAATACAGAGTAGAATAAATGAGAAAAAAAAAACCCGTAAATTACATCTAGAAAATCTTGTTGAAATTCATCAACTAATTTAATAATATAAGTGTACAAAGTATGCACATAAAATTAAAATTTACAAATAATAATTAAATATCAATTAAATCTCAAACTATGAAACAAGACCACCAAGCGTATGTTGTATACTTGTATCCATGGCTTCTACTGACAGGTCTGCCACGACGAGGGACGAACCAACCAAACCCAAACAAAAAAAAATCAACCAAATCCTAATAATAATATGAGTACAAATTTTACAAGTATTACAACCTCGTTAGTATCAATTTAATCAACAAATCTCATTTCAATGAAAAACAAAACATTTACACAAATTCACCAACCGTTTTCCGATGACTCGATGAGCACTGCAATTGAGAAAGAGGAAAAGAGGAGAAAAGTCAGAGAACAAGAGGTGAGGGAAGCGGTTTTTCAGATAAAGTAGTAAAGAGGAGAGAGAAGATTTTTTTTACTGCTTAGTAAATTCTGTGACTTACTGTGAAAAGAAATGCGTGAAATTACGTTTTTGTCCTAGGTATGGGCCCAACGAGCCCTGGGCCCATACCTAGTAGTGGTCTATCACTACTCTCCTTCTCCAACGGTTTCTATGTTGCTCCATACCCCTCATTTTCAACAAATCTTCTCGTACAACCCCATTAACACTTATTCAAAACACCTTTGTTTGTATAGTCTAACATTATTATACATTTTCTCAATTTCCTCCAAAAAAAATCCCCCTTTTTTTTTTTTTTTTTTTTTTTTTTTATGTGACTAACATGAAGCCAAGCCTCCACAAGAACCACTTCTTCAGCTTTGGACCAAAACTTTGTTATTCCATCCTGATTTCCTCCTTCACGAGCTCTTTCGCTTTCTTCGACTTCTTCAACTTCAGGTACATTGTCTTCATTTGATACGTGTGATGTGTAAAACTCAGAAATGCACCTTCACCTTGTGACATAGTAAAATGTTGAGACATGGGAAGTGTTGAATCACCTTGAGAGATTTGAATATTCTCTAAAAGATGGGATAACATGCATTTTTATAATATGATAATCAGGCTTTTGTGGTGGTTGAAAAGGAAATTGAGTGAAAGTACTTGGATTTGATAAATTGAGATTTTGTGAACCATAATTTGAAAGCTGAACTGCTATTCGTCGCTCCCATTTTACCGGGTAACGCTCCCATTTTGACTTGAATGAACAACTATGCCCTTTATGCAATTTGTGTTATAAAAAGGACTTTGTTCCCCATTTGGACACATTTCATGAAACGGTCCCCTCACATTACGACCTTGCTATCCCGAGCCTCCCAAAATCGGTCCCCACGACCTTAAAACCAAATCGGTCCCCATGACCACCTTAATTTCTCTTATTTTAAAAACAAATTAATCGTAAAATTTTCCGACGGGTCTTGGGTCATGGACGACGAGTGGAACATTCGTACGCCGGAGAATGCGTCGGAACATTCTGTAAGTTTTCGGTTTTTTTTTTATTTTCTGCAAATAGGACATCCCCCCAAAATTTCCAGATGTCCTAGGTAGATCCGCCTAAAATTTCCGGATGTACCATTGGTACATCTGGAAATTTCAAGCGGAAGTAGGGATCCACCTACAAAATCCGGAAATTTAAGGCGGAAGGGACATCCGGATATTTTAGGCGGATGTCCCTTTTTAATTTTTTTTTTTAAAAATGTTAAGTACGTTTATTTTTTTTAATGTTAATTAAGTTTGTTTTTTTTTGTTTTTTTTTCGTGGTCTTGTTATTATTGTTGTGATTTAGTATTTGATAATTAATGTAATTTTTTTGTATTAATATGATTATTTTTTGTAATATTATTATTATTATTATTTATATTATTATTATTGAAAATATTATTATTATTATTATTATTATTATTATTATTATTATCATAGTTGTTGTTGTTGTTGTTGTTGATTTTCTTATTATTAATTAGTAGAAATATAATTTTAATTTTAATATTATTATTATTATTATTATTATTATTATTATTATTATTTAGTAATTAATGTTATGGTATTATTGTTTTGTATTTGTTGTTATAATTGTTTATTATTATTTTTAATATTATTATTAATATTGTTATTGTTTTGTATTTGTTGTTATTATTATTATTATTGTTGTTGTTGTTGTTGTTGTTGTTGTTATTATTATTATTATTGTTATTATTATTATTATTATTATTATTATTATTATTATTATTATTATTGTTTTTATTATTATTATTTTGACAAAAACCATGTTTTGTTTAATTTGTATAGGATATGGAATCTGAGGAAGGCGGTGACGGTGTGAATTATAGTGGAAATTTTGTCACGGATACGTTTTTTCCTACATTTGACGATGTAGTTACATGGGCTGATGGTGTTTCCATAAAATTGGGATTTATATTGGTGAAATCGTCTTATAACAAAATCAGAGATGGTCGGCCGTATCGGTATTTGCGATATGATCGGTCACGAAGGAGCAAGCCGAGAGATTTAGAGAACGCGATACGGAAGGACACCAAAATCAAAGCTAATGGTTGTCTATTCTACATCAAGATATATTATGAAGTCAGCATCGACAGTTGGAAGATCATTGCGAAAAATGATCACACCGGGACACATAACCACCCAATGATTGTGTACCAAGAGGGTCACCGTAAAGTGAGCGGATTGAGTCCGGGTGCAAAACAGGTTGTGCGGGACATGACAAAGTCCAAGGTTACTCCCCGTAACATCATGTCCACTATTGCCGAGCAATTTCCTGATGATCATCCAAACATCCGACACATTTACAATTGCCGAAATGACTTCAGGATGGAGATGTCCGAAGGAAGAGGAGTTGTTCAGCAATTTCTTCATCTGGCGAGAGAGAGTAAATACATTTACTGGGTCACAAACGATGATCACAACGTTTTGCAACATGCATTTATGGTGCACCCGATCATGGTCAACGTACTCCGCACATACCCACATGTCATAGGTATGGATTCTACTTACAAGACTAATCGATATAACATGTCTTTCTTTGAGGTAGTAGATGTGACATCGACAAACCAGAATTTTCTAGTTGGATATGTTTTCATGCGCGACGAGTGCACGGCTAGCTATCGGTGGGTGTTGTAGAGATTAAGGGAGTTGATTGGGTTTGATAAAGAGCCATCTGTATTTATTTCAGACCGTGATCTTGGGCTATGTGCGGCTTTGAGAGAAGTCTTTCCAGGGACGTCACATTTACTTTGTCTATGGCACAACAACAGAGATGTGGAGGCTAAGGTGACGAAGATGTTCGGAAACAAGAAGGTTGGTGTCAGTTTTAGAGCTGGCAAATGGTTCAAAATCGTGTATGCAACAACACAGGAGGAGTACTCCCAAGCAGACGCACGAGACATTTGAAGGTCCCGGGTCAAGGTACCCTGCTGTGGCTGAAAGCACGGAAAGTACTCGTAAATCCACGCTTACAGAAGCGTGAGACAACCAGCAATCGAATCAGCACCTTTCCGTGATGCCGTGCCCAGTTGCCGATACAAGTATGCCAGTGCAGCTGTTCCCCAAGCATACTCGTTAATAGGGACATCCATGTAACATTGCTCGTGGAGGAAGGAAGGATGCGTACGGCTACCACTTTTGTCTACAAACAGTGTACCTCCAAGCACTAACCACAAGTATCCATTAAGCTGATTACTAAACTCCCGGTCAACCGCCAATGTCGACTCAAAAATCTTATCAGTCAACACCCCACTACCCTGCCAAATGGCCTTTGTGCCGCAAATCTCAGACAAATCATCTGGAGTCATATCCATGGTGATCGAGCACGCGTCCCGTAACATGTCCGTGCTAGGAGTAGTGGTGACCATATTGCCTGCGACACGTAACCCAAGTATGTTGTACACGTCGTGCAACAAGATTGTAATCTCCCCAAATGGCATGTGAAAGGTGTTCGTATCTGGCTGCCACCTCTCAACAAAAGCAGAAATCAACGGCCAATCAAGTCTTTTAAACATCAGGCCGGGCGAGTGAGACAACCAACTAGCATCAATCGCCCCGAGGTCCTCCACAGATTGAGACCTCGCCAAGTGAACAAGTCAGAACATAACTTTGTCCTACTGAAACAGCGCAAAACACTACGCTCCTTCTCGATCCAGATATACCGTGCCACGTGACCGCCAAAACTAGGGATAACAGACCCATCCTCAGGACCACCCGGCATCGGTTCCTGCACTAACCATGCCTCTACAGAGCTGGTAGTAAGCTGACTCGATCCACTACCAACAAATCTCCCAAACTGACCCCTATATGGTAATCCTGAGGGTCCTGTTCTTCATCCCGGTCACCAGCATGACTAGCCGAGCATTCGTCTTCCTCGTCAGATATGGGTGCTCCACTTGCAGAGTACAAGGGCCGACTACTACCAGACTGTTGGTCTCCCGACCAACCACTAGTAGACCCGTATTGCTGCTGCTCGGGCTGAAGTGGTGCTAAACGAGATGTCTGTCTCCTAACAGACGCATTCAGACGTCGTGATATTGCATGTAGAGCACCAGAACCCTCGATCTACATAAAATAAGTACAAAATTCGATTTTAGTAATAATAATAATAATAATAATAATAATAAACAATAATAAAAAAAACAACACCAACAATCATAATCGTAATAACAACAAAAAATAAAATTAACAACAACAATAACCATAATAACAATAATAACAACAACAACAACAACAACAAATAAAATTAACAACAACAACAATAACCATAATAACAATAACAACAACAACAACAACAACAACAACAACAATAACAAATAAAATTAACAACAACAGCAATAACCATAATAACAATAATAATAACACTAATATCAATAACAATAATACTAATCATAATTAAAAATATTAATAATAGTACTACTAATAACAATAATAATAATATTATTATAACAACAACAACAACAACAACAACAACAAATAAATTTAACAACAATAATAACCATAATAACAATAATAATAAAAACCCTAATATCAACAACAATAATAATAATACTAATCATATTTTTAAAAATTATAATAGTACTACTAATAACACTACAAAATATGCTTCAAAAAAAAATAACACTACAAAATTAACAACAACAACAATAACCATAATAACAATAATAATTAAAAACCCTAATATCAACAAAATAATAATACTAATCATATTTTTAAAAATAATAACACTACAAAATATGCCAACCATAATAATAACAATAATAATAATAATAATAATATCAACAATAATAATAACAATAACAATAACAATAACAATAACAATAACAATAACAATAACAATAACAATAATAATAATAATAATAATAATAATACTAACCATAACACTTCAAAATAACAACAAAAATAACAAAATCCAAAAAAAAAAATTTAAATTAACAATAAAAAAATTAAAAAACCATATTATTAACGGGAAAAAAAAATCGGAACTTCCGCCCAAATAATCCGGAAGTTCCAAGGAGGATCCGCCTGGAATTTCCGGATCCTCCTTGGAACTTCCGGATTTTTTGGGCGGAAGTTCCAGGTTCCGTAATTAAAAAAAAAAATCACCTGCTCGCCGTCGTCGCCGCCGCCTCCACCGCTGCCTCCACTGCCGCCAAAATTCCTCCCTCCGAATGTCAGCCATATTCGCCTCGAATCACCCATCTATTTTGTATTTTTGATGATTGTTGTTTTTTTTTTTTTAAAATGAACAAAAAAATTTGGAATTTTTTTTTTTTTTTTTTTTTTTTTCAGATTTAGAGTGTTTTAGAGAGTTAGAGAGAGAAGTAAGAAAGTGAGAAATGTTGGTCGGGAAGTGGAAAAAACTGTATTTAAATGTTAGGGGTAAAATTGGAATTTCAAGTCAAAATGGGAGCGTTACCCGGTAAAATGGGAGCGACGAATAACAACCCCCTTTGAAAGTTCTTGAAAACTTGTATCTAAATCTGAGTTGAGATCAATTTGGAAGAGTAGAATAGTAAGGTTGAAGATTTGGATTATTTTGGGATTGTGATGAGTTTTGAGATTTTATTGGGGTTTTTTTTTTCCTATTGCATTTTGAAATATTCATCTCAACATAATTTGTTTTTTATAAGAGAGTAATATTCATTTTCATAGAAGTTGTTTCAAAATATTGACCTCATTTTATAGAAAAAAATAAAATAGAGCCTTATGTGATAGGAAAAATGGAAAAGAAAAATCCAACCTTCATTTTATTCCTCAAAAATCCAACATTTATACCCCACCTTCTCCTATAGATCCATTTGACCTCTAACTTGTTAAACTGGTTAAATTTATTTATTTATTTATTTTAAATTCTTTCACTCCTCTTTCTCTCTCCTATCTCCTAAAAACTGAAACAATAGAACCACCACGCACCTCCGTCGCCACCACCACCGCTGCCACCATTTACCCCACCCTACCAAAATCCAGAACCGAAACCCTTCTCCCACTCCTACCTATGCTCGAAACCACAAGCCCAGACTCAATTAAACCTTCGATTTGCTTTGACTGTGGGGCTGCCACCACCGATTTGCTTCGATTAAACCACAACATCAGTTAATTGTTGTTGTTGTCGGCGAGTTGATGTTGTTGGTGAAGGGAAATTGGTGGGCTGAACTTCTGAAGTGTGTGGTTGTGTTGCTGGTGTCGTGTGGTGGCGAGCAAGGTGGATGTGGATTGGTGATTGGGGGGAACTTTGTAGCGTGAGGTTGGAGTTGGAGGGCGGTGCGGTTGTGATTGCGGTTGTTGCGGGCTGCTGAAACGGAGATTGGAAATGGAGGTAGGGGCCGCTTGGTGGCGGGAGGAGTGTAGTGGGTTTTCCAGTGGAGAGGAGATTGGGGTTGCCGGGTTCTGGTGGCTGGTGGGCGGTGGGGATGTGGTGGTCAAGGAAGGACGGTGGGCGGGTTTCTGATTTTTTTTTGTTTTTTTGTTTTATTTTTAAATTATTTTGTTTAATGGATCTATATGGTGGTCAAGGAAAGACGGTGGGCGGTGGGGATGTGGTGGTCATCAACATGTAATGGATCTATATGAGAAAGTGGGGTATAAAGGTTGGATTTTTGAGGAATAAAATGAAGGTTGGATTTTTAGGAGGAAAAAGTGCAAATGTTGGATTTTTCTTTTCCATTTTTCCCATGTGATATTAGACGAGTCTTCAAATTTACATGATAAAATTAAACGAGCACAAGTTGAATAGTAGTTTAACGAATTTAGTGAATAACAAGTACAAGTCGAGCACGAGCCATGTTTTTGGAGCATGAGTCGAGAACATATTATCTCATGATTGACTCGCTTGATTAGCATCAATTGCGGTCAAGCAATCAAGCATTAGGTTCACTCTAAACCCAAACCATCAATTCCTAGTTATAGAAATTACCCAAAAAAAAAAAAAAAAAAAAAAAAAAAGAGAGTCAATGATCAAATAAAACCTCCATCCACCGAAAAGAAGTTAAGAATTCCCCTCTTGACTCATCCCAGCAATGGCCGGGAAATGGTTACCAGTGGCGAATCTAACATCAAGCAAAAGACCAATCCTCACCGGCGACGAAGTAGAATGCTTCTACCTTTCGAGCATCGATATTGAACCCGACTTCACAACCCACCCAACTCTCTCCCCTTACACTTCCGGCATCCTCAGATTCCTCACTCTCACCACTCACCGCCTCATCTGGATTTCTCCATCCTCCGACACCGCTTCAATCTCCCTCTCTCATATCACTCACATTTACCCCCCTAAAAAATCCCTAAAATCTATGCTATCTATTTCCAGTCCAAGGGTTAAATTTGACTATTCACACCCTTCAATGGGGTCAATTGCGGTGACGCTGGTGATGAGGGGGAAATCGGATAACCATGAGTTGTTTTATGAGAAGTTTTGGGCAGCGTGGAAGGGTAGAGCGTGGGAGAGTTCTGGTGCTGTGGCGGCAGCCGAGGCGGGGGCAGGGGCGGGGGAGGGGAGTAGTGTGGCGATTCGGGTGCCAGTTGTGGGTGTTGCGGGGATATTGAGGAAAGAGCAGGAGATGTGGGAGAGTACTGATAAGACTTTGCAGGATGCTTTTCAGGATTTGAATGCTCTAATGGTATACTTAATTTCATGTTTTAATTCCCTTTTGTCTAATTTTTATTCTTTTATTGGTGTTTAATTGTTATTGATGAAATAAATTAAAATTGTTTTAGAAATACATTGATCAATGTACATGTACCCATCTGAAAAACAATTGATGGGTAGTTTTTTTTATAAGGTTTTGTTTTGTATGTGAATTTATGAGTAAACAATAGGGAAGAATAATGAGCAAATATGCATAGGAAATACATTGATCAAAATACCCAATTAAAAGTAATTGATGGGTAGTTTTTTTTTTTAAGAATTTGTAGTATTATGATTTATGAGTTGATTATAGGGAAGAATAATGAACAATAATGAATAAGAAATACATTGATCCTTGATCAAAGTACCCATCTGAAAAGTGATTGATGGTTAGTTTCCTAAGAATTTGTAGTCGTATGAGTTAATTATAGGGAAGAATAACAGAATAATGAACAAGAATGCATAGGAATCTTATGATTTAAAAGCTTGGTTGTACCCTTTGTTATTCAATTTGAGTGCCCATTATGGGTATGTACCCAAGTGTTGAATTTGGCTTATTAAGAAGATTTTCCATGTATATGGTTTAAAATGAAGTGGGAAATACCTTTGTTATAGCATTTGACAATATTACTTCTGAGTAACTTAGTGTGTCACTCAGAAGGGGTTAAGATTGGGTAAGAGTGCACAGAATTGATTTTTTGATGTAGTTTGACTTGTTGGCTTAATTCTTGAGTTTTGCAGAGTAAAGCGAGAGAGATGGTAAAGTTAGCCGAGAGAATGAGGCAAAAGCTTTTGGCAGGGTCAACTAGTCAATCTAGTAATGCAAGTGATGAGGAGATGAGCTCCAAAGAAGATGTGCAAGAATTGTTGCTCAGTGTTGGTATCATATCGCCAGTGACAAAGGAATCTGCTGGGGCATTGTATCATCAGCAGTTGTCTCGCCAGGTTGTCATCTTTTGAATTAGAGATAAACCTTATATGATGATGTCACTTTGATCTTAATTATATAGACTGGCTGTCTTTGTGTGCCTGCAGTATTCATTTTATGTTGGTTGATAAGAGTTTGGATCCTTGCATCAGTTGCATGCATGTTTAGTTATCATAACTTTGATGGAAAAAATCGAAACTGTAAAGTGGCTTGGGAAATTAATCATTTTATTTTCACTCTAATGAATTTGGAAACTTTGCAATATGTCAAGATTGCTTTAATGTAGTTTATCAAAACAGAAAAAAGATTTTGCTTAATTGTAGCCGAGAATAACTCTGTGCATGAATCCAGCATGTTTTAACGATATGAAAGAGTCCTGTAGATTATTATATCACGCTTAGCAGAGTCATATTGACGAATATTTGCCAATTATTTTCTCAATTTTTAGTGGTCTTTGTTATGTAAGTGTTTCCATGTGCTATAAGACTTCTCTTGAAACTAAAACTTGTTAGTTTTACTGCTGACTTGGTGAATCTAACAGTATGATATGAGGGCAAGCTTGATAATATTGATGACTCTTTTTAGTTGCTATGAAGCTTCAAAACTTATAGAAAAGGCAAACTCAAACTAATCACGGTTCACATCCACGTAGGTAATTGTTCTCATGTACACTTAGAGCTAGGTGTATCCACTGGTATTATTGTTGCTCATTTTGAAATACTTTTTGCTCATTTGGTGCCATTCAAATGAGCAATGAGTAAAAAGTAGCCTTGAGCACACCTAGCTCTATGTATATGGGGATTCCTGAATATTTTAGGGTAAACCAGTGCCCCTCAGCTCTTGTAGTATGATGATTTTCCCAATAAAGTGCTATCTTAGAAATGATCTACAGTCTCAAGAATTTGTCCTAAATTTGGGGTCTTCTCGTTTGATTTCCCTTGATTGTTTTTGTCCTCCCTTTTGTACACAGTTTTCATTCCTATTGCACCCAATGACCCAAATGTCTGACTTTCAGTAGGTTATCTCAGTCATTTGCCTGTTACAAGAATAAAAGAAAGCATGACTTTTGATGGAGATTAGGAAAGGCCACAAAGCAGAGATGCAACTTAGAATGGTGGTAAACATAAAAAACTAAAAGAAAGGAGAAGACAAACAGAAGTGACATTGAGAGTTTATGCACAAAAGAGACGGTTATGAGGATTAAGAAGAGGAGGAGCATATCAGTGGCAGGGAATTTCCTACGCAATGTGCCCAAAAAAAAAAAAAAAAAAAAAAAAACCCTGAAACAACCTACATTTCTATGCTCATCTATGTATAATCATATAAGACTAAGAAATGCAAGGAAGAAAACTTTTTGGGACACCTTATTGCCTCAACAATTTGTAGAGATTGTACAATATTCTTGAGGCTTCCATTTTGTCTGGCTGCTTAACATGGTATCTTTAGGTTTTTATGGCCAAGCTGTATCAGTGTTTGGTTCCATTATCTGATTATCTTTGCCAATTCTTGATTTTGGAAATGGAAGTCTTAGATCATGCATTGAGACTCTCCTTTTTTGTTACTTTCTGATTCATCTCCCTCTTAGGTATCAAGCACTGCACAATTTTAATCATTGAAGTACTTGTTCAGAGTATAGGTTTGTATTGATTGATATCCTCTGATGGAGTCCTAGCAGCTGTCGGAAACTTTATTACATAATACTTTTGTAGCTGAGTAAAATTTGACTGGCTTTTGATTCTGGTCTCATTCTTGCCTGAGGCTTTAGGAGCTATCTAGATTGCTGTTATTGAGCGAGATAGCTGACTTTAAATCATGATTAATGCTTTCTGGAACTTGTGCAATGTGGAGAAACTATTGCTGTTTTCTTGTGAATGACAAAAATTGACCAGTGAGAGATATACTGCCTTTTGAGCAGACAAAGAACTAGAACTTATTTCAACGGATCAAACTTGTAATTGTTCTAGCGTCATCTGAAAGAAGTTGGCTTTTCAGCTGAATCCAGCCTTACACATACACCTGAATTGAACATAAGGTTCTTTTTATTGTATCATCCTTCCTTGGGAAGTAGAGTGAATCCAAGTGTGCAAGAAGAAAAACAAGAATATACTAGGGATAATGCAAATGTGCAGTACTTTATGTTTCTGTAAATACAATTATCAGGAAATTATGAAGATTTCTCCCTATCATATTGAAATACAATTATCAGGAAATTACATCTTTCCGCAATTGATTTGTGATCAAGAGAGTGTATAACTGTATATAATGGATATTAAGGTTTTTATTTCGTTATATTTCCTTAATCTAGAGGTATTTGGAGCGACAATTCTTAAAGGAATGTTATTATTAATAATTTTTTGTAAGGAACGTTATATTGCCTTTTTTTTTTTTCCTTATGTTTGTTTTCTTGTAGTTAGCAGACTTTGCCAGGGTTCCATTGGAGAGAGCTGGAGGAATGATTAATCTTATTGATGTATATTGCCTTTTCAATCGTGCTCGTGGCACAGGTCAGATTTCAAATAATTGTTTGTTTGTTTATTTTATTTTGGAATTCCTTTATCCTCTACATTCTGGAAGATTGTTATAACAAGTATTTTTTAACATTGTGTAACTTTGGTGATAAGAAACATTTTGTTTTACACCGCAGAGTTGATTTCACCTGATGATTTATTGCAAGCATGTACTCTTTGGGAGAAGCTCGATGTGTAAGGACAATATAATGCTAACATCAGAATTCTTGACTCGTAGATGTTCAGATTTTCAAATTGAATAATATTTTGTTATGACAGTCCTATAATGCTGCGGAAGTTTGATAGTGGTGTTATGGTCATTCAAAGCAAGTCCCAAAGTGATGAAGAGGTAATTTCCTCTCTTGTTTTCTCACGTGTTTATTAAATTTGGAAAATAAACTACCTTATAAAAACACGTTTTTTTGAAAAAATACTTTAATCCAACCAAAGGTAGCTTCTTACGACATATTTTTTTCTTTTAAAGGTCCTTAAATAATTTTTTTTATTAGGTAGATTTTCATGAAAGCATATCTTAATAAGATAGTTCTTGACAAATTTTTCTATAAGTTATTTATGGATATATACTTGGATACATCTCTCGATAGAATTTTGTTGCATACTTCATATTACTTTTCCTGTCCATATTAGCTTTGATGGATATTCCTAGGTGATTGCAGTATTTTTTTCCTGATCAAGTACAATTTTTTACTACATTTGTTTATAAATGCCTTGGATCAAGAAGTTCCAGTCGCTCATAGAACACATTTTCTGGATACAGGTTTTTGGTAGAATCAGAACACTTGTACTGAAAACTGAAGCCCTCCGAGTTGGTATAAGTGCAAGCGATGCTGCAATGACTCTTGAGATAGCCCCAGCTATGGCCAAGGAGCATCTTCTTGCTGCTGAAAGTAAAGGTATGCTCTTGCAGTCTTGCCAAAAATTCAGGCATTGTGTTTGATCTATTTTGGTATTAACCTTTCAATACCATTGTCAGGTCTACTTTGCAGGGATACTAGTCCAGATGGCTTCAGATTTTTTGTTAATCTTTTTCCAGAGATCAATTTGGATGACATGTACCTGTAAGACAACTCTTTAAATTTCCCATTTGGATGTTTAATTTTTAGTCTTCATACACCTTATGATGCTGAGTTTGTGGCTCTTGTGTAATATTTTGAAATTAATATTCTTAGTCTTATTGAGGGTGAATTTATGAATGTTAAACTTAATTATGAACATAAATATTTGTAGAGTTTAGACCACTAATTTATTGAACTCTATAAATATTTGTAGGGTTTAGACCACTAATTATTGAACTCTATCTTGGGAGGATTGTTTTCAAGATGACCCTCACTTCAGTGTTTCAGAGTTGCCTTTATGGCTCAGATCCTCCCTTTTTCATCTAGAAATAACTATCATTTTCACTTCTAGGGTCAGGACTATGCAGTATATTTCTTGTGAAACTTTGAAGTTTAGAGTTCAAAATCTCTGATTACAGGTTCTTTCCCCTAAAGAAACTCTGGGTTAATTCCTGTAAAGTTGTTACTGCTCGACCAAAAATGATACTGCAGCTTTTTTCCCTCTTCTGAATGACTTTATGGGAAAGAAATGAGGACTTTTATAGTAGGGACTAGGGAGTAGTGACCAATTAGGATAGGAAAACTCCTCTTTTGCATGTGACCCTTGAGTACTAAGATGTTAATTTTTTAGTCATGGCCTCTTCTTCTTTGCAAAGGATTTCTTTTGTTGATGATTAAGTTTGCAGGGGCAAATGATTTTCTTTTATATCGTTAAAAATTGCCACGTATTAATAGGACATATGACGGAGACAGTTACATGTGGATTTATATTATGTGACTTTAATATAAGGTGATCCATGGGCGTGGTATGATTATTTCTGATATGCATCACGTCTCTTATCTGCAGGGTGAATGAAAGTGGGATTTATGCTTCCTGGGTTGCTGCTGTCGGAGAATCATAGTAAGATGGCTTAAACATTCAAATGTATGCTTTAGTGCTGTAGATTCCTGTATGTTGTTGGTATCTTTTTTTTTTCTTTGCTCTGTGATGAATACTCAATCATTCTTACTCTGAGATTGCAAATCTGCGTGATATAACAGGTCAATAATCTTTGCAATCAAGTATAAATAACCCATGTGATGCATAACATCTTTACACGGAGTTGTTGATAACCTGAGAACGGCGAGAAGTGTACCAAGGATACGTCTTATGTAACATAAATTCATTGATGTAACCTTGTTATAAGTTGCAGAATTCTTGGGGTTCTGTAATATTTCCATTGTAAGAAATTCAAATTAGGTTTTTGTTTTGTTGGCCTCCTCCTTTAATATCTTCCAAGTGGTCAAGATTTGTCGACAACAGCAATAGTTGTGCAGTAGAAATAGAAAAGAGAAAAGAAGCAAGTTTAACAAGTACTCGCTTGTATAAACAACAATTATATCCTTGTGCATGGATTTCATTTTACTTCATCCGTTATTTTAGATGCATCACTTTTTATAGATAAAAGTTTCAATTTAGATGCATTTTATTTCTTTCATATCACATGCCACACATGGTCCTCTTTATTTGTACTCTCTGTCTCTTTATACTCCAAATATTGACTAGGAGTTCATAATATCAAAAATGATTTATTAAGAAAAATGGGGAAGTACAAATGAAATCAAGACACTGTTAGGTATTCATTTATGTGATCAAGATAATGTGAAAAAGAAAAACAGAACCATTACTATTTTTATTGTGAAAAAAAATATACGAAGTACATAATTTTACCCTTTGTTAGCTCAATCATCAATTGCATTCAAATTTATTTCATACTTTGTATATAAATTTGATATGCATTAATTTGTCAAAATCACTATTTCCCTAGTTTGATGGTTTGATATAGATAAATATGATTATAAGTGCTTTTGGCCATTTTTAGTTTTTTCCAAGGTTTTGTGTAATCTGTCATTGTTTTGCATATATTTAGCCATGGAAACAATTAAAATGATTTGTATGAAGTTAATAAAAAATTTTCAAAAAAAATTAAACGTATTTTAATATGAATACCACTTCCTTGTCTCTTCTCTCACACAATTAAGATGGAAACATAAAAATATATGAAGTATTATAGTGGTCTGCAAAATAAAATTAAACCATGTTCAGATTGTTCACTTCACCTTATTTTTGTAGAACTATTTTCTTAAGGTGAAGTGAACTCGGTCTTAGGGCCTGTTCATATTTACTTAATTTCATTTCAATTCAGTTCAGTTCAGCTCCAATTAGTTTAGTTCAGTTTAGCTCATTTCAACTCCTAATATCCTTCTTTCATAAAATACTCATTTCAGTTCATTTCTGCTCTAACCAGTTTAGTTCAGTAAATGTGAATAGGGCCTTTGGGCCATTCTCATTGACTGGACTGAACTGAATTGAGCTGAACTGAACTGAACTGAAATGAATATTTTATAAGAGAAGGAAATTAGGAGTTGAAATGAACTGAGCTGAACTGAACTGAATTTCAACGTAAGAGAATAGACCCTTAGTCATAGAAATTTTAAAAAGATCGCAATTATGGAGAAAATATAGAAAATTCAATATTATTGATATGAACTCTTTAATATTTAAGCACACATTGTATGCGCTCTTAACTTATTTGTTTGGAGTAAACCATGAATTTGTGATTTTTTTGTTAAACATGGCTAACATTTTTTTGCGCACATTGTGGGTTTATTCATTTTTGTTTTGTTTTTTTTTTTTTAATTGTCAAATTTTTAAAATTAAAAACTAAATAAAAAACATGCAGTGCAATTTCAATTTATGTTGTCGGCTTCCAAATTGACATGACTAATTAATATAAATAGGATTCTTTTTAAATTCTAAAAACAATGAAGCACAAGGTTCTGTTCTCTTCAAATTATTTTCAGTTCATTTCTTAATTTCCTTCTCTCAAAAATATTTAGTTCAGTTCTGTACAGCTCCAATAAGTTCAGTTTAGTTTAGTTCAGCTCAATTCGGTCAATCAGAACAGACCCTAAGGGCATGTTCTCATACGTTTATTTTCAGTTCACTTCAGTTCATCTGAGTTCTGTTCAGTTCAGCTGAGTTCAGTCTATGAGAATTGGCGCTAAGTATATGTTAGGATGTTGAAACAAAAAAGTAACCGATGTAATCATATCATATCATATCATATAACTAATATATAAAGCTAAACTTTTAGCCAGACGACGAGACAACGACACTTGGCGTTCCTACTTTTTGCCAAGTGTTGTGTCATGTAGGATAGAGTTATATAGAATTCAATTTGTAGGATAAAAAAAGTTAGTTTAGAATTTTATTTTCAATCTAATTTGGATAGAATTTTAGGATAAAATTGTTAATTTAGAGCTTTATTTTTGATAAAGTACCAATATTTCATATGTAAAAATTGAATTATAATTTTATTCAAAAAATAATTAGATTATAACTCTCATAAATTATTATATAAATTTATTTTTTGTATCATAGTATTTTTTTGGAGCGAAAGAATTAGTTCAAAATGTACCACATCCATGGTTTATAATATATTCAAATCAATTAAAATAATATACTTCATGGCCTCAAAAAAAAAAATATACTTCACAATCTGATATAATTTTGATTAATGTGTGTAGACTGTCAATCATGTCGGATCACGAGTCATTTCAGAAAGGGTCAAAAAATGTTTTTCACCAATATTATTATTATTAGTCATTACATGTCTATAAGTTTAAATCGTCACAAAAACACGTCAATTTCTAATTAATTTTGTATCAATGATATGTTTTTGATAAATAGATTATTACAATTTAATAAACAACTCGGAGTAGTAAACTAATAATAAATATAAAAGTTATACAATCTGTCGTTAGAGTGGTGGGCAAGAAGGCTAATTAAACGAGATCACATGACTACAGAAGACAATACTAATGAGGCCTCAAAAACAAAATCAGTCATGGAAAATTTTGAGAAGGTGACAATTTCAGAGAAAATGGAAGATTCAAATTCGATTACCCTCAATCTCCTTCGCAAATTTCTCTCTCTTCAGCAACGAAGAGCCGAAGCTTATGCCAAATTACGAGAGTATAAACCCTAAACCCTTTTCATCACTGTCCTACTTTATTCAATTGTCATATTTTTGGTTTGAATTCATTGATAATATCGTTTAATAGCAATTTAATTAAATTCATAGAGTTTACATTATTGAAATCGTTGTTCTAGTAATTTAGGCATATTATTAGTTTCTTTGTGCTGTGATTTTTTTTTTTTAATTAATTAGGCTCCCATGAGTGTTTGTGGGAGTTAATTTGGTTTATGCCCTTTATGTTGTTAAATTGGTGCAAATAATTGAGATGTTTATGACAGTTTTCCGTGATCAGTTGGGAAACAGTTTTTTTTATTTAGATTTGAGTATGTTAATTTACTATGGTTTGTATTAGCTGATCGCCTGATCAAGTGCCAAATTACTCGCATCCGAGTGAAGAATGATGTAGGAATGATATTGAATGTCAGTCTATTTGATTCGAATAGGTGGTGTGTTTAACCGTGTAATACGGAGAAGTTTACTTCTTTGTTATCGTCAAAGCTCCTTATCGATATCTTGGATGGTAACACGTTCAATGAGAGAATTTTGCAAGTCAACATGGGATGTGGATTAGTTGACATTGAATTTTGAACTTAGTGTCCATCTTTGTGTGAAATGATAAACTCCCGGTTTCATCGGTGGCAGGGGAGGTTAATATTTTAAAGGCGAATAAAGATAGGTTACATACAAATTTTTGTATTTAAACTGTCTGCTTGTGATTGTTGATAATCACTCATTTAGGTACTTGCACTAAACATCATCATTAATTGAATATTATGGTAAGAATGATTTATCGTGCTCTTCGTCGAGTGAAATTTCCTAAAATGTTAGTTTATTCAAAGGTCAAACCTTATATCCATGCTTGTACATTTTTTCTAAGTTGAGAAAGCATCATTTTAGCAATGAAAGGCTAAAGGTTTATGGATTTCATGAAACAGGTTCAAGATGAGAATTAAAAATTAAAATTTTTACATGTTATCACGGGTTGATGCTTGAATAGCTATTTCTATGATCAATAATCATCGCTAGTGAATTTTGGAAAATCTAATTGATGTTTTACTGAATTCAAGTCTTTTCTTTTTTTTAAAAATGTTGCATATGAAACATACAAGTCAATTCCCTTTTTCAAATGGTAGTGTGCGGCAAAAAGTTGTATTGTTGCAGAATGTGATTTCACAATTTGCTCGGTGATGATTTTTCATTGCTTACAAAATATGTTAGCTTTAAAGTTAATTTATCGTCTTTTGTTAATCTGATTTATTGCAAAACACAACAGTGGTTTTTCTGAGTACATGATCTCAGGGGTGGAGTCAACTTACCAACAGCTTTGCAGTGAGATCACGATAGAGTTCAGTGATTGCTCAAAACAAGTAAGACCTCTCTATATTTTGCGTTTCTGTTTGCCTTTTGTGCTGGTAATTGTTTCATTATTTACCTGAACAATCCTTTTATTCATTTTCTGATGCAGGTTCGTGAGATTGAATCCCAATTTCTGAATCCTGACTGCTTTAGAGATGATTTAGCTAGATTATTGAGGTCTGTTCAAGAGCTGGAGAAGCAAAAACTGCACTTGGTAAGATTGTTAATTTACAGCTTTTACACAATTTATTGCAAGGACTTGGAATCCTTCCTAGGATCTGTTTTGGGTTTGTCTATACTGCTCAAATTTGTCAATGTGTAAACTTGATATACTTAGGTAGTGTTCTCTTCACTGAATTTCACTTATCTTATTCGTTGGTGAAGAGGAGAGATATGGGTGGTGTCTTCCATGGAAAACGTGGAGTAGGGAGAGAGGATGTGGTGGTGATCAGTGAAGAATGATGGGTCTGATTGAGGTGAGAAGATTAGGGAAGGGTAGTAAAGGGTATAATGTTTTTATTAAATTGAAAAGGTGAGGGTAAATAAGGAAAAGTGTAATGTTAAAATTTGTCAATGAAGGAAGCATGTTAAGTAAAAATAAACTTTCTAGGACTTATCAACCTTTATTAGAACTTATTAACCCTTATCTTATTTGAACTTACCAACCATTATCATATATTATCTAATATGAAGTTGTTAACCCTTATCTTACCTTCTTTGTACTTATCTAAACTTATTAGACTTTAAATAAGTGAAAATAAGGGGAGGAGAACATTAACCTTCATTTTGTACTCTGTAAAAAAATGGCAATGCAATTTTTTCTTGAGCATGATAATAAGAAGTCTTTAAAAAAGGATTTTTTTTTTTTTTTTTTTTTTTGGCTTGATGATCCTGATATTTATTATCTAATGATGATGTCTGGTTCTTTTCCTCAATGTGCATTCATCTAAGGTCATATCACACTGCCTTATCTCCCTGCTCATTCTCCTGTTCGATATGATTATCTATAGTGGCCTATTGGGTGTTATAGAATTTCGTTCCATGTTTGACTTGCTCATATGAATGCTTTTCTTGTTTAATTTCCGTAGCAGCAGCAGTAATATGTATTACTATTGCATACATCTATGTAATCATGGTGATTTCAGTGAAATTTAGGAAGAGGCTGCAGTGCTGCACTTTTCTCGCAGAAATTTTTTTAGTAGTTTGACAATGGGTCTGATTTTTGTGTTAGTCTTAGTCTGTTGAAGAAAAGGGAGGAAGAAAGGTGGGGGGGGGGGGGGGTTGTAGGATGGTAAAGATGAGGGTAAATGTCATATTCTTCTGCCTGCTTGTGATTGGATGCTTCGAAGTCATTGTTGCCTCACGCCGAACTCTTTTCCACTAAAGAGCTACTTGGTGGAGCTATGTCCATCACTTTTTATGCATTCCCATTCCTGCTTAGATTGATAGGTTTGCACCTAAAAATCTGAGTTGAACATGAGTTGGAAATAGGAAACTTAAGCTGTTTAAATATTTTACTCTTTAAGGTAGCAAGAGTCAATATTTGTTCATAAAAACTTAGAAAACTATAAATGGATTATTTGTAAAAACTAAGAAATTATTCAAGGTGGAAAGGCAAGCAAGTTGCTATAAAATTGCTAATGTGTTTCTAAGTACCGAGCCTAATGGTGGAAGGGTGAAAAGTACAAGGTGGTGCATAACTATAGCGCTTATTATTGGAACATATTTTGAAACCAGTTGTATCCTAGAGTGCATATATATCAGCATATCAGCTCTTAATGTTAATTTGCAACAAGAAACATAAGTAATATCTTGGTGTAACTCGTTACTTATCCCTTGGGGTGTTTGTGTTGACATCACACTATGGCAACACAAGGCAGTATGCCCTGTATTCACTAGGATGGAGTTTAAGTAATCAACTGGGTAAGGAGAGGAAGAGATGGAGAATCAGCAGATTTTTAAAAATTGAAGATATCTAGGGTTTCTGTTTGTTACTGAATTTGTAATGTGGGTCTTACTTTAGCATACGTAGAGGGTGGAAATTTGGCATGAACTTTTCCAATCAGCATACGCATCCTTAGTGTTTTCAAAATTGTGTTCTGGTGGTGCCATACTAATTTCTTGAAAGACGTTGCAGTTGATGAATCATGTAATTTTAGTGTGTGAAATGGATATCCTATATATTTTCATTGAAAGACGTCACAGTTGATGAATCATGTTGTTGTTGGGAAAGTGTAATCAGTCAGCAGGTAATTTCTGGCTGATACACTTTGTGCTGTAGATTTTTTAGATATGTACTTAGCTCTAAGAATATATGTTTGCCCTTGTGTCCTCCTTAGGTGTTAAATCCTTTGTCTAACACTTTTGTGCTGTGAAGTTGGTTCATACAAAGTATATTTTTTGGTTAAAATCGGTACTAAGTTACCAATCATATGCTGTACAAATAATCTGATAGGATTTTGGTTCTAGATTTGTTCATGCCAAGAACGCATATTATTAATCTGAGGTACCCCAGTGTTCTAATATCCCTTTATTTATATTGAATCATGCATACCATATATGTGAACTGAGCATACTGCAAATTACATAACATTGATCCTACAGGGGTTGTAATAATATGGACTTGTTCCTATTGAATTCAGTAGACATAGACGTGTCCAATTTTTATTATTTTAATCTGACACTTTCTGTTGGTCAAAAGACTGCAACAATTCAGGTGTTGAAGAAGGCTGGGCGACCGTCTGAACGGCTTGTAACTCATGAAAATTGTAGGTTTAAAAAGCCAATGCATCATGAATGTGTGCATGTCCACGAGTTAACCGATGCAGCTGGGACTGAAGAAGCAGAGGCAGATGCAGAGTATGATAATGCTGTTAAGGAAGCCGTTCAAGGTGTGCAAGAGGCAGTGACCTCTATAAATGAACACTTGGAAGAAATTAGATATGAAATAGCTGCCCTAGAGTGAGTAAACTGTTTAGCTTGTGAAAAAAAAAATCAGAGAATATTGTTGGGATAGGGAGTTTAATGGCTTTAATCTGTGCAGAAGTAACTTTTTTATCCTTCGTTGTAACGGCTCAATTTATCAGCCAATAACATGTAATACTAGTCGAATTTTCCTAAGAAAAAGAGTGAAGCTTTATTCCCTTTTTTCTTTCATAAAAATTCAGTTTTGAAAAATTCATTAACTGAGGAAAAAATTAATGAACTTGCACCTGAAATAGAACTGCATAAGAATGAGTCTTGGACTTTCAAAAAGGTACAAAAATTATGCCTTCTAGATCTTAAACAACTTTTTTTGAGATGAGATCTTATACAACTTTTGTCAAATAGTAGTACTTTTTTTAACAATGGTAAATGTCATCTAAAATAGCTTTGTAAGGTGTGCGTTCATGAGCCCATGCTAAAGTTTCAATCAACCCCTATATTCGAAACAAGATGTTGCCTAATTAGACCACGAATTACAAATGTCTTGAAGTTGTAAAGGAAAAAAAAATAAAAAAGGAAGAGTCTAGGAAGAGATTTATGATACTGATGTATATCCCATATAAACTATACAAGGCCCTAAATTTTATATTACTTTTGTTAACTTTTCATTTTTTATGATTTTGTTTTTGTTAACTTTATTTTTTTCTTTGTTTCTTTCTATAAATATTTAATATTCACTTGTTCACCACATTGCGGATTTAAGGTGCTCATTTGTCCCAAGGGTTGAATTGTGCACTACATCGCCTATCCAAGGGGCTCATTATCCCCCAATGTTGAACCGTGCACCAATCACTTATATAAAAGGCAATCAATACATACCATCATAAATCAAGGGGCTAGCAAGCTCCAATGAGTGAGTTGTAAACTCCGTTGCCTAACAAGGTGAGGGCGCCACACTAAGGCACCTTGTCACACAGTAAATGGAGGTGCCCCCAATGGCACCTCGTTACCCAACAAGATGAGGGCACCCTTTGGGCACCTCATCACCCTGTCTTGGGAAATTCGTCGCCCAACTAGGCCAATGGCTCTCTTGTTGCTCAGGCCAAAGGCTCCCCTCTTGGCCTAGCTTTCCTTGTCACCTAGCCAGATTTAGGCTACCATCGTTGCTTAGTGAGTCATCATCCTCTGCCGCCACCTAGCCAAATATTATCCCGTCGCTCATTCATACATGGCAATCATCGCTCACAAGTATCATTTTTCGACAAACTCACGAGTCGCTAAAGACTCCTTTCGAATTTGCTGTGGGCTAATATTTGGACCTCCTAAGTAGGCTAATGAACTTACCAAAATACCCCTGATGCAAACCCTCTGATGGTGGGCTTCCATGAGTTGACCACATATCAAATCCTAAGAAACCCTAATTTATACAGCTCATTAGTGCCAAATACCCTAATCAAGTTCATTCATCTTTCCCCATAAAATGTTGATCTATCACATCATCAAAGGATTATTTATTCACTCTAAATGTCATTCACTGAGTAGATTCCTTCGCATTCCCTTATTGGAATTCTCATATTGAAAAACATTCTTTTTTAGAGAATTGCACCATTTAAATTAATACTCTATTTTCACGGGATTATTTGGCTTATACATTGATAACCGAGCACAACCGAAATGAACGATTAGTTTTAGATTGTGTAGCTAACCCAACTCAGCTCGAGATATAGATACTCTAAAAACTCAAATTATTTTTTACATTTTTTTTACTTCCTTTAAAAAGATTTAAGTGTTAATATAATAAAGTCTTGCCTTGTAACTAACTATCTCAATTTCCTCATTACATTTTCTCACAAATACCCATTTGTGTTCTACGGGTTTTACACCTGCTGGTGTAAGAGTTATTTTTTCGAAAGCTTCTCGTTTTTCAAGTGACTTTAACTCAGCCAGCATTGCCTCCTTCCACTTTGGCCAATCACTCCTGTGTCGACATTCTTCCATTGTTCTTGGTTTAACATCAATTTCATCAAACAAAATGTCGATTGCGATGAAATTTGCAAATATTTCATCCACGATGACATTTTTCCTACTCCACTGAGACTTGGTAGAGACATGATTCGTTGAAATTTCATTGTTATCGATGTCTTGAACATCTTGTTCATTTCCCGTAGGGTTGTTCTCTTGTTCGTCCCTTTTTAGACTATATATTTATTTTACTTTCATCCACATTTGGTCTTTCTTTACCTTCTGACGGGAGAACATCATTAGTCTCATTTTCTATTCCATCCAATCTTTTCAACTTCCTTGGTCGATCTAGAATCTTTTGAACTAAGTGGTCTCCCATGCTTTCTACGTGCTTGAGATTCATTTTCAATGGTCTTATTGCCAGTTGGAATTTCAATAGTGCAAGGCATTTTCTGTTGGTATATGTGATTTTGTCACTTTCTTTGTGTCTACAAATACATCAGGCAATTGATTTGCAACACTTTGTAAATGAACAATTTTCTTGACTTCTTGTTCAATTCACACATATTCGTTCGTGGATCTAACATCAACAGTTGTGTTGCATTCCAAATAAGTGCTATTTCTTTCTTGCTTGGGTCCATTTTCTCTTCCCCTAAGGCTGGGAATATCGTTTCCATTAAAGTGACAATAAACAAATTTAGCCGTAAATAAGTCACCAGTCAATGGTTCAAGATATTTGATAATAGAGGGGGATTCAAACCCGACATAAATTCACAACCTTCTTTGTGGAATCATTTTTACTTGTTGGGGTGGAGCAATGGGAACATATACATCACAACCAAAGATTTTTAGATGTGAGATACTTGGTTCTCGACCACAAACAAGTTGTAGTGGTGAAAATTTATATTATGATAAGCTGTAGGTCTCAAGCTAATTAGTGATGTTGCATATTATAGCATGTCCCTAAGCAGATGATGTCAATTTTGACCTCATTAATAATGGTCTTGCAATTAATAGTAATATCTTAATTAGTGATTCAGCTAGACCATTTTGTGTATGAACATGATCTATTGGGTGTTCAACATCAATTCCAATTGACATACAATAATCATTAAATGTTTGAAATGTAAATTCCCCAACATTATTATCAAGTCTTATTTTCTTTATTACATGATATGGGAATTGTGCTCTTAATTTGATAATTTGGGCAAGCAATTTTGCAAAGGCAACAGTTCTACTTGAAAGTTGACTGACATGTGACCATCGTGTAGAAGCATTAATTAAAACCACGAAATATCAAAATGGTCCACATGTCGGATTAATTGACCCACATATATCTCCCTGAATTCTTTCTATGAATTTTGGAGATTCAGTAGTAATTTTGTTCATAGATGGCCTTATTATTAATTTTCCAAGTGAATATGGAAAGCATGTTATTCATTTGATCGAGGAATTTTGACATTTCTTATTGAATGTCAACCTGAATTTGCTATTATTCTTTGCATCATCCCAGTTGCTGGATGCCCCAAACGATCATGCCATAAAATAATAAAATGTTTATCATCTAACTTCAGGTTAGATATCATATAATTTCCACGGGTCTTATGTTTATACGATATAACCCCGAAGAAAATGGTGGCAATTTCTTATAAATATGTTTCTTGCTATGTTTTTCAGCCATGAGGCATATATATACTCCTTTTGATATGTTGTTATTGTTTCTAAATGATAGCCATTTTGGCGTACTATATAGCTTATGAGATTTCTTCGAGAATTACTCGAATATAAAGCATTATTGATTATCAATCTTGTCCCATTTGGAAGCATTATACAAGCCTTTCCAGATCCTTCAATTAATTTTGTTGACCCGGAAATAGTGTTTACATTTGCTTGAAACAACTTTAGTTGTGAAAAATATTTTCTATTCTTCAAGATAGTATGTGTTGTTCCACTGTCCAAAAGGCATTGATACTTGGAACTAACTTCACGTAGATCCATATCTTCATAGAATAAATACGAGATTAGTTTAGCATAATATCATACAAACTTTTATTGATGATAAAAATTAAAAATACATGATTAGACATTAAAAAAACAGTACATGACTAGACATTTAAAATACAGTACATAAAAAAAATACATTAAAACATAGTATTACATTTGTAAATGGGTTATCTAAGCAAAGTTATTTTCTCCAAAGATGAAATCATTTTTAATTTCAACATTGTCCATGAAATAATCAGACACATCAAGGGTAAGACATGGAGCAATTTCTTCATTAACATAATTTGTTTTCGCGTTTTTCTCTTGGCCTTTTATAGAAGCCTGGTAAAGGTCTTTAAATGTTTGGTCGTACGACAAGTACGTCCCCAATGCCCTGTCATGCCACATCTGTAACATGTGTCTTTTCCTTTTGAAGGAGTTTGTTTGTGGCTTACAGATGACTGTCCCTTCTGTTTTTCAGAATTTTTGAAAGGAAATTTTGACTTTTACCACCAAAAAAATCAAAAAAATTGTTTTTTACCACCAAAACTTCTAAAACTTTTATTTTACCACCAAAAAAAGTTCTAAAAATTGTTTTGTACCACCTAACATAAAAAAAACCGTTAAATCTAACGGTTTAAAAAAAATTTCTTCGAATTTTGTGTGCAAAACATGCTTTTCATAGGTTTAGGGGGGCATTTTGGACCTATGGATCCAATTTGAGGTCAGAATTGACAAAAAATTTGAGGTACGCAAAACGAGACATTTTCGATTATTTTTTGTCAATTCTGACTTCAAATTGGACCCAAAGAGCCAAAATGCCCCGCAAAACCTCTAAAGAGCATGTGTTTGATAAGAAAATTGAAGAATTATAAAAATTCCGTTAGATTTTTGCAACCAGGTGGTAAAAAACAATTTTTAATTTTTTATTTGGTGGTAAAATAAAAGTTTTAGAATTTTTGGTGGTAAAAAACAATTTTGTGATTATTTTGGTGGTAAAAGTCAAATTTTCCTTTTTGAAATTATTGTTTCTTTGAAAATTATATCTACCACGTCTGTGATAATTTCCATAGCCATTGTAATTTCCACGTCTACATCTTCGTGTATCATTTGCCTCGGGTGGATAAAAATTTGTTGCATTTTCCTTATGATGAGTGGTTAAAGACCCAGTTGGTATAAGATTATGATTTTTCAACAAAAGATCACTATTTTGATATGCAACAAGCAATACACTCATTAATTCATTAAACTTTTTGAAACCTCTTTCACTATA